CTTCTACCCGATGTGGGATGGAGGTAAAGGCTACTGTATTGCTTTAAAAAAAGGTACAGGCCAGCCAGAATCCTTGGTGTTCAAGAATGAGATTCGAACGCGCGATTTCTACCCCTAACAACCATCTTTAGTTCTTGTCCTCTTCAACCCTTCTAGCTCTTATTAAAAATATAGCTATCATCTATGGCTGAAGGCAGGAGATATGAGATATACGATAAAGAGAAAAAAGTTATATACAGAAATGTTCATGGTGTGGACGAAAACTTGGGAATAAAGATTCACCGGGCAGAAGAGGTACTGTCTGATGGAAATTATATGCGGGTGAGAATTAAATCTGTTCACCGTCAAAAGCACCAAAAAGAGTTTGAGCGACTCTACCGGGAAGTTGATCGAAGCAGCCAGATCTCTGCTTCCAATCACATCCTATATGTAAGGAACACTTTCTATAGCAAAGGTGTTTATCATGTGGTCATCCCACGTGAAGACGAAGCTATGTCCACCTTGATAGAAATGGGTCGTGGATGTGCAGACGGCCTTTCAGAAAAGGTCATTTCTGTGATATTAAAACAAACTATTGTCGGGTTGTCTACCATCCATAATAACGAAGTTATTGCACATCGAAATTTGACTCTGAGTAGCATTGTTTTTTGTGATTATGATATCAAAGTAGCTTTTGGTGCTACTTTGTATGAGGAATGCACAATCGCTCGTGAGTCATCATCAAGTCGCCCTATTGTAGAGTGGGTAGAGGCTCCTGAAGTTCTTGATTTGACTAGACAGACTCTACAACGAAATAAAGCTGATATATGGCGTATCGGTGTAATAGCTCTGCAGCTAGCATATGGTATTTTTGACTTCCCGCGAAACAGGCAAGGACAGTATACTTTTGTTCGAAATATTTTGAAGAAACAGAGACTCCCGAACAAAAAAACTACTGAAGGAAGCACAAGAAAAAAATTGGTGAACACATTGAAATCGAAGCTTTCTTCTGTGGTTCCTCGTTTCAGAACTTTTTCAAAATCTTTCACGAGTATGGTTATCAAATGTCTGGCGGAGGACCCGGCTCAGAGGCCAACTGCAAATGAGTTGCTGACTGATGACTTTATTATGAGTTCGAGAGGATGCTATTATCATGCCTACGAGGTTAGACTTCTTGTTTTTATTTTGGCTTTTATAGTTCACCATTGAAGTTACATGCATGGGGAGTAGGGATATTAGGTACTCAAGGATTTTGGCTTCTTAATTTATAGCTGTTGAACTCTTCCCAAGAGTCTCACCTAGGGTAACGTGGGAAAGTTACATGCATCCCAGATGCTGAGGAGCGCTGTAGATGGCAGAGAACCACAGCTCTTCTCCTCCACTTGTTCATCTTCGATGTAACCTTGCTCTGTCTTATGCGCATAGAAGAAGGGATTCCTCCTCTACTGAAGGCAAAAAAAAGGGAAGGCAGAGAAGAGAGTAAGATTTGTGTGCTCTTGAATATTCTTCTCTTCATCTTTAAGGAGGATTTCTTTTGTTTTTTGAAATGTTGTTTCATCTGTTGAACCCAAGCCCTAACCCATCTGATATGTAATTTCGGTACACAAATCTTCGGTATCTTCTTCTTCCTCTTTCTGTCTCTTCCATTAAAAAACGGTTTCATTTTAATTTGCTTCTGTCTCTCTCTGGTTTTGGACTAGAGCAATGCTATTGGGACTTAATTTATTGACCTAATTTACTGACCTAATTTATTGTGATCATTGGATTGACTATAAGGCTCATCAAACATTAGAACTTGATGTTAATCCAATAGTTCTAAAACCACGTTATTATGTCAACAAATTAGGTCAGATTTTTATGTCCAAATAGTATTACTCTTTGGGTTATTGTGTATTAGTGATCCGAAGAGGTTGAGAAATTCCAATTTTTTTTGGGTATTTAGATCTCTGTGAGTGTCAAGAATTATATAAACTTATTAAATAAAGAAGATGGTAAGGAAATTGGCTAAAGAACCTAAACAGTAAAGTGGATGGCACTCTATATGCACTGTTTCATCCATACCAAGAAACTTTTACTTTTTCTTCTGTATAACTTTTAAAGTTTCAAATCCCCAAGCTTCGGTTTTCCCACACGATTGTCCACAAAATGAGCCAACCTGTGTGTGTCTCTCTCAGTCTCAGGCGTTTTATGGGTGAACACGAGGCAACAAATTTTATGTTTTTGGGAATTGACAACCTCAGATCTGGGTCTTATATTACCGGAGCTTAAAAAAAAATTATGAAAATAATTAAATAAATATTTAATTAAAAATAAAAACGAGTATGACTGAATTTTTTTCACCAATGCAGCACAAAGGAGACAACCGTCGTCAGATTATTTGTGACTGCATGTACTACTTTTCTTGAATTGGATGTGTCACCGAGCAGAATGATAAAAATCTACAAAAGCCAAGGGTGCATCCAATTCAATTGTTCCTCGGAAAACGATGATTTAGATTGGATAGCATATAAAAGCCATCCAATTAAGTGCTTGAGTGAGTGAGTGAGTGAGTTTTGGTAGGATGAGTTGGGATATAAAAAATTCAATCCATTCCTATTCTTGTCATTATCCAAACACATCCTCAGTCTTTGATGGCTTATTTTGTTTTAGGGTAACTTGTGCTGAAGGCAAGTAAAATGTGAAATAGTTAATTAGGTTAGTGTCTAGGATTTCCTTTATCTAGGATTTGGTGAGATGGGCCAAACTTGTGTTAACTGTTTTCCTATCTCTAAGTATTGATGGCATGTAGGTCTCGGCCATTTGCAGCGCCCTTGGTTCCTGTTGCATTCTTGAAATAGTTAATTAGGCGAGGCTCCTCTTTGGTATATAAATTAATTTTAGTCTTATCGAAATTTTAGTATAAAAGGTCCTCCAATTTTTAAAAAATTTGAATGTGACCCTGCGCTAGTGAGAATGTTAACGGATTTGTTAGTTACTGAATTTCATTACTCATTTTATCATTATCACATGATTTTAGCCTAAAATATAATTAGTTTCTTTTTTTCTTTCATTTGTTATTCAGGATTTTGTTGTGTTGTCTATTAGTTTTGAATGACGATCTATATTTATGGAGAAGAAGGTATATTAACGATATGTGTTTTTAGTGTACTTATCTCACAATTTGTGTTTATGGAAAAGAAAGTACATTAACGATCTGTGTTTATGGAGAAGAAAATATATTAACGATTTGCATTTTAGTGTATATGTCTGATGATATGTATTTTAGTGTACTTGTCTGACGATTATTGCGTACTTGTTATTTTTTATATTTTTTTTATTACGTACCAATTTTTTTTTGGCACGAAAGTATATATATTTTAATTGTGTACCTTTTTTTTTAGCGTACCTTTATTAAGTTCAAAATTATACATTGGGGGACATAGATTTGTTCCCTTGAATGAATCAATTACAGCATATTCAAAATTTGAAAGAATTTAAAACAAATGCTAGATTGAATTTTTGAATTCGTAGGAAACATCTGAATTTAGAAAGGAAACTTCTTAATTGCCTTAGATAGTGTATTTCTCCTTAAAACTCTTAATTAGCATTGTTAATGGAGGAGAAGAATCTTGCTTCAATAGGAAGAAAATCCACGTATGTTGTTGGTTGTACAGGTACACAAATTTAAATTATCATAGGTATACAAATTAAAATTTAAATATTATATTTCATACAAAAATTCATTTGTTTTATATTTAAAAAAAATAAAAAAATTATCACTTTTGGAAGTCTTTCAACTCTGTCTCATAGTTCTTCGCTTTTTTTTTTTCTACTCCTTTTGTAGTTTTTTGTTGAAGGACTTTGTCATTTTCTTCCACCTGTCTTTTTATTTATTGGATATGTAGAGTTCAGATTCGAGACGGTTGATATCAATTTACATGTGATCTTGTTTTGCGTGGACATCGTCTAGAAAACCTAAAAGTATTTGTATTTTAGTTTGTGTTCTTTGTTGCCTTGATTGTTCTATTTTTTTTATGTGTTTTTATTCTGAATTTTAAATGCACTATTTATAGAGTTATTTTACATGGAGTAGATAATGATCTGTGTTTTTTGGGGAAGAAGGTACATTATGATGACGTAGTTTCTTAGAATATGTGTTTTAATTACATGATGACATTTGTTATTATTTTTTACATTTTTAAGGGGCTAGTTATAGTCTTTATTTTGACTTTTCAACATGAACCTAATCTAAAAAGAAAACTCTTTTTGAAATCACTAATGGAGCTAGCTAAAAATTCCTGAAGGAAGTAGTCTAAAAAGTAAAACAATTAGACATTTTAAACTTACATAATTTGCGACCCTGCTTAGAGTACTGTAGAAAATAAGGTTGACTTAATGAATATCGTGAAGAAACACGTAAATTCATGGTCACCCAAGAGCTAAAAATTTGATTTAAATAATTGTCCAATTGAAATTTCGTACATAACTTTCTATAAATAATTATATACTCTACTCATTCTCTTGTTTCAAAATGAGAAAACCCTCAAACTTAAGGAAAAAAAAAGGATTAAAAAAATGTTATAAATGTTATGTTTTTTATTGGATAAGAATTTAGAATTATTTTCTTGTAGTGTTTCAAATTAAAAACAAAGCTAACTCCCTTTTATCAAATACAGTGGACTTTAGTCGAATTTTTGTAATAGTTGTTACAGCATCTCCAACCCACTAACTAAATTCATATAGTAAAAAAAAAATGATATTAATATAAGATTAAAACGAATGACCATGAGAGAGATAGGGACAGAAAAAGTAACTGGGGAATGCTGAGATCAACGGGAAACGCAAATATGCCCCTTGCATTACGCTCGTAACTGCTGATAACAATCTTTCCATAATATTTGGAATTCAAATTATTCTGTTACACCTTTGTGTCTTAATTTGTTCATGGATCACAGTCGGCTTCCGGTGCCGTTGTTGATGTTACCGGAGGGGATATTCTGTTGGAGGATGCACTGCAACACCACCATTGATATCACCGGCGAATCAAGAAAGAAACAAAAAAATCAAAATCGAAACCCCCTTCCCCTCTTTTTCTATACTTTCTCTCTCACAAACTCAATCACCACCACCAGCGGATCAAGACATCTACTAGTTGCAACCAACGTTCTGGCTTTCGGTGCCGCTGTTGATGTTGCCTTAGGGGATATTTGTTGGAGGACGCACTATATTCTGCTGCAAACTGTGAAGCCGGTGTCAGAGCCCATTCTTCTTTAGTCTCTTCTTGTTTGTAATGGCATCTGTCATCTCTGGTTTTATATTTCAACTTGTGTTGTATCGGCTCTTTCTCTATAGAAGATGATATTCTTTAATATAAGACCTTTCTCTATAGTCTATGTGTTTTTGTAAAAAAGACGACATTGTACCGGTATAACTTGTATTAGTATAATTTTTATTTTTATGTTACTATTTTTTTGTTTTTACTTTTTTATTGCGTATGTTACTACTTTTTTTTTCATGTTATTATTATTTTCCATGTGACTACTTTTTTTTGTTGAGTATAATACTTTTGAATATATATATCAGTAATTGCCCATACATAAGACACTATATAACCAAAAAAAAAAAATTAAGAAAATTGAAATTCATTTGAAAAAATTAAATTCCCACAATACCCGAAGTAGGGATAGCAATCAAACCGTCAAATTCATATAAAAAATCTCTAAATTCTAACACGAACTATTTAATTAATCATGTCCAAATAACTTAATACAAATACAATTCGCTTATAACACCAATAGTTAGAGCATGACCTAGATAACACATTTACTGAACAATTTGTATCCAAGTTGACTTGATGCGCTATCAACCTAATCAACATGTTTAGTACATGGATCACGATTGGGTTGTAATGACTCCTATAACACAATCAGCAAGATCTGTTTAACATGTCTAAGTAACTTTAACCTATCAAATTCAAATAAAATCTTATTTTTAATATAAATTATTCATTCATCTACAATTTACATCTATGAAAATTATTAAATTAAAAGTAAAATATATGCTCAAAACCATCCCATCCAACACATGAAAGAAGTTTGATCCAAAAAAAAACACGACAGAAGTTAAGGAAAATCACATTCCATACTCCCAAGTATCTTTGCTTAGCACAACAAACCCAAGCAGTTAAACAAAAAGATAGTCCCAAATAACAACACCACAATTTAGTTCACAATCTCAACCAATATTGACATCTGGAATTCTAACTAAACTAATCTTGGCAGCTTTGACAGTACAGTTGACGATAAAGTTGTGGCACCACCAAAGAATATAAGCCAATATGTTTATGAGCCTATCCTCTCTATTTCTGTAATCAAAATAAAATGTTAAATTAATCAATCAACCCAATTCAAATCAAGACTTAATAGTCCCTATAAATCTTTTTCATATCAATTAATACACAATCTTTGAAATTATGAAAGTAAAATCAATTAACACACAATCTTAATCTCAATAATCCTAGCATTCATCAAATCAAGACCTATAAACCTATTTCATAATTTAAAAAAAACAATTTGAAATTTCCAAACCTTATTCAACACCCAAATTAAAAACTCCATTTAAAAACAAATTAGCCTAAAAAATTTTCCAAAATAAATACTCAATAACCATCAACTCAAGATCCATTCCATGTGATTAACAAAAATCGTAATATCCAAAAGCCATACAAATCTTATTGAGTGAAATTAACACACAACATTCAATCTTAATCTAAATAACCCTAACATACATCAAATCAAGACTCTATAAACCTATTTCATACTAATTGATAAACAATCTCTTAAATTATGGAAGTTAATTTAAGAAGTAAAATAAATTAACACACAATTTTAATCTAGATAACCCTAACGTTCATCCAATCAAGACACTATAAATCTATTTCATAATTTAAAAAAAAAACTAATTTAAAAATTTACAAACTCTATTCAACACCCAATTTAAAAACCCTAACATTTAAAAGCCCAAATTAATTTGCATGTGTGTTGCTGTGGGATGTGTTTGGTCTGTTTGTGTGTGTGCGCGCAGTTTGTGTGTGTGTATGTGTGTGCGCGCGCGCGTTATCTATGTGCATGTGTGCGTGTGTTGTGTTGTGGGTTTGTTTGTGTTTGTGTGTGTGAAAAAGAGAGGTCAAAGAGAGATGGAGAGAGCGTAGCTAACTTGGAGGTTGTGGTCGTGTCCGGTGAGCCAAAGGAGCTTGGAGAGAAATTTATTATCAAAGTACGGCTATTTTGACACTTAATTATCAAAATACAGTTGTTTTGAACTTATTCACCAATCTACGATAATTTTTAAAGGCGAAATCAGCAAATCTGACTTTTAAAAAAAATAGAATTATTAAATATGTCTTCACCTTGAACGCGAAATCAAGAAATCTATTTTCTTCTGAAAGCGTATTTATCAAAACCGTTTTCGAAAGAAAAATCTGTGGTTATCGTTCCGAAAAAAGCGGATGTATTAAACCCGCCTTAAATAAAAAGCGGATATAATAAAACCACTTTACTCAGAAAGCGGACATCTTAAAAACGCTTTCACCAGAACTTTGGCTGTCCTTAGCTTTTTTTTAAATCCCATGAAAATTGAGCTGACAGCCATCGCAGTCTTTTTTGAAAAAAAAAAATAATCAGTTAAGTTTGTAATCAAATTTTTCCTCATTTATTTATTCTATCCGTTTTTAAATATTTGTCATTTAAAATTTTTACACAAGAATTAAAGAAGTTATTAAATAACTCTAATACGAATAAAAATTAATTACACAAGATTAAAATATTCTTACTTAATATGTATTGGGAAAAAAAAGAATATGAAAATCACTTAACTTCCACCTAATCTAATATATTAAAAATTTAAGAATAAATTTAGAAGAAAAAATATTAATTATATTTTAATTTCATAAAATAACAGATATTATAAAATAAAAAAAATTATATAAAATGGTAGACATTTAACAACGAAAGAAATATATTTTATGTTTCGTTTTGTAGACTTCAGTGTATCGAAGGGTGTGAAAGTGCAAAAACTGTGGCCAAAGGAAAGCTAAGTACAGTCAATTTCAAAAAAGGCGGCGATGGCAGTCAGCTCAATTTTCATGGGATTTAAAGAAAAGATAAGGACAGCCAAAGTTCTGGAGAAAGCGGTTTCAACAAGTCCGCTTTATTTAGAAAGCGGTTTTATTATATCTACGTTTTTATTCAAAGCGGGTTTAATACATCCGTTTTCTTTGAAACGATAAACACAGATTTTTCTTTTAAAAACGATTTTGATAAATACGTTTTTAGAAGAAAAAAGATTTCTTAATTTCGCCTTTAAAAATTACGGTAAATTGATAAATAAATTCAAAAGAACTGTATTTTGATAATTAAGTTTTAAAGTGATAATTTCGCCCGGAGAGCGCAAGGAGTTTGGAGAGGGGGGGGGGGGAATTGCCTATACTCACCTTTTAATAAGAAAATGAAATGTTATTAATCACAAGCCCACAAACCGCCTTAAAATTTTTCACCTGTATCTGTATTCAAATTTCACAAGCCCGCCATTCTAGAGTTAAATGATGTTGCCGAAATAAAAATTTTTAATATTATTTTTTTATTTATCACATTTATGTGCATATGTGCGTTGTACGTCAACTATTTTAAATTTTAAATAAATAAATTGAATTAATTTTTTTTATATGAATATGGTTATATGTTACATGATATTTATTGAATTTTATGGAGTTCACTTGTCCAGTTGCTCCCTTGTTAGTAAACGGTTACACAAAATTATGAGAAAACTATTACGTTCAAAATTTTTCTCAAATTTTAGATTATATGAATTGAATTGCATATAGTTAAAAAAAAAATTAATTGCACTACATTGCATTTAAAAATTGTAATGTTTAACTTTCATAAGTGATTAATAGATTGATGACTAATGATTTTTTAAACTAATAAGAAGTTATTACAATAGGTTATTATTGTTTTTTTATCTTTTTAAGAATAGTATTATCAATTAAGTTTTTTGACAAGTATTGACATTCAAAAGTAGTATATAGATTATTAGATCTATTTAAATATTTATTTTTTAGCGAATTTGGATATGTACTACGTACTACAAATATATGATGTAATTTGGTGATTATTTAATAAAATTAAGTAGAAATCCATGTGTTAAATTTTAAAATCGTCTCTAATCAACTTATTCGAATCAAAACAGATATTTATTTTAACGGATTCATATATACACTGTAAAAAATAAAATTTGTTAGACAATTGAATTAGATTCGAATCACATTATTCAAATGAAATTTGGGTTGAATTTATATTATTTGGAAATAAGATAATCAAAAGTCAAACAATTAATTTATTAGTTGAATTAATGCAACTAATAAAAAAAATCTTCAAAAAGGGATAAAGTAGACATTATAGAATTTTTTAAGGCTAAATAAAAAAATCAAAAAAAAATTTCTAAAGTCACTTTAAAAAGGATAATATAGATATTATAGAATTATTGAAGGATAAATAAGGAAATCAAAAGTTTTTCACTTAAACCACTTTTATTAATAGTATAGATATAAATTATTGTGAATATTTTTACTATCGTTGTCACATAAAAAAATTATAAAAATAATTATTATAACAATATTAAAAATATTTACAACAGTGATAATAACACTCATAAAAGTGATAAATCATCCGCAAAATTGTTAAATTTTTTAGTTGTAAAATGAGCCACAAAAATTATAAAAAAAATGCCAAAAATTAGTAAGTTTTACTTCAAAAGTGATAAGGTTCATCCCAAAATATGGTTCATAAATACTTCAACTAAGAAACAAAGGAAGCTATAGCGACTATTGGTTTTTTTTTTCCTTTTTCGATTAAGTGTAAAGACCATTGTTGATACCAAGATGAAAGATCAACTATGATGTTGTGGAAATGAGTTCAAACTCTACTATTTTACGCAAGTAATGTTAGCATGTACACCTTTTACCCCGTTCAATGCTCACATTACACCACGACTACGGGAAGAAACTATTGAATATAACAATTATATCACGTTAGTAATATTATATGGTGTAATCGTTCAATAAAAAATTTAAAAGATGAATGAAATGGATCACACATGGATTTCTACTCATTCATGAATATTGTGAGTCACTTGCGAGGGTAAAACTATATAACACTATTGATATTTACTCGATTATTCTTTATCTACAAATCACTTGGCTAATTATACTACAAATG